CTCCCCAATCCCCACAATCCCAAAATTTCCAATTTCCAAAAGGCCGATAACGCACTTGTAACAGCTCTGGTGTTTCAGGTTTTCATGGGCGGCGCCGGTTGCTTACCGTCAGGTGATCCGACAGCTCATTTACCGCCCATAAAAAAATTGATGCAGAAGTAGAAAGAAATGGGTGAAGAAAATATAAAAAATGTGATACTAACACCGCAAATACCTAATCCGGTGGGTTGGAGAGTGCAGACTTCAACGTGGGGATCAAGGGGAGGGACATAGTACGGCATCTGCAGCACGAGGGTAGCACGGGCCACGCGTATCATGCAATCAGCACCGTCGATAGTGCTGGTTCTCATTTCCATCAATTCGGGGGACTCCGTACCATCATCCTGGAATACGCAACAAATATGTAACTTACAGATCTTAGATTACGACAGTGTATCGAGTGCGATATCATTTTTGCTGTAAACTAGTTTTTAGAGCATTGAAACAGAAATAGTTTTCTGTTTCAATATTTCAATAATTGGGTAGTTTCCAGGGTATCAAAAATAAAAATCTAATTAGTCCGTCAGTTAGATAATGAAAAAAATATTAGACACGTATTTTTTTATTTTCTCGTATTTAGTTGCAATACTTAGATAAAATGGCGCAAAATTTAGGAGTGGGAGGTCGTTACGTCATAACGTGCTATAAAATGTAGAACTATGTTACGTCACACGATATTTCAGATTAAAATATCGTCGAAAGTATTTAATTTTGTGAGCAAATAAAAAAATCCGTGTTTCAAGTTTTAAATTAATGTACCAGTTGGACATTAAAATAAAATTTAGGAAACTACCCTATTCGTTGTTAATTTCTTACGGAATATACACCCCATCCTGCAAAGACAGCTTGGACTCCTGCGCCAATGTAGTCATAGGTGATGGGAACAAGCTGAACCAGGTCATTGAGGGCCACATTCGTAGTGGTGATAAGTATACTGATGTCATGTTTGACATTTATATTATCGTAGCTAGGGTGGGACACGTTGCCTGCTACATCATACACGATACCGCTTTTCCACTGATATGAGCCAACGGTGACACGAAGAGTTCTGAAAGTACAAATAAACATGACTGTTATTATTAAAGCATACATTATTAAGCAAAAACTCAAGGCCTGGCCACTACAGTATCGACCTTACTTAAACGTTTCTTGGTTCCAAAAATATATCACATCAATGCAATGTGCAGCAGTGAGTACAGAGCGTTGAGTAATCAGCGAACCTCCACAGAGGAAGTACTTTGCCCTCTCGCCGAAAATCAGAGCCACCATGTGAGGGTGGTTGCCAGGCACTGCCTGGGTACCACCGACGATACGAGCGCCAGTGTCGGTGTGGTCGAAGAAGATGGACATGTCGTCTTCAAGTATTGGAAAGGCTATAGAGGTGTAAAAATGTAATGAATGAAAATAAATAAATTATTGTTGTACTAGTATACAAGGCGTTGTTTTAAAGCCGCGTCATTTTCTAGGAGGTAACTCGGCTATCGATTCTGAGGCCGAATCAATAAATTGTAGGTAAATATTTTAAATTTTTCTGAAATTACGGAAATCCGTAAGTGCGAAGTACACGCTGCCGTCTTGTAACTAGCTTTATAACGCGGCTTAACACACACAAACTCAAACACGTAATTGGTATTATTCCTAATTCCATAAAACTCCAATAAGAAACATTGCTGTCGCTTATTCTGAAATACTGTCGAACTTAAACGATGTATTATAGCCGTATTTTTAACTATTGTCCCAAAATGTTCTCTTACTTTGAACCTTTATGACTTCTGTGACAACTGACATGCCTCCGAGAAATAATACGGTTTCAAAACTACACCTTGTATATAGTGTGAAAAACGTAGTAGAACTCACCACAGGTGCCAATCAGAAGGGTGATGAACAGTAGAAGTCCGGCTTTATATTCCATGTTTGACAATGTACGAAATACGTAATAAATGCATATAAATACCTGTATGTATACTAACTACTGAAATTCATGATACTGCTTAAATAGTATGATAACGAGGAATTACCTCCACTGATAGCGTATCACCTTTAATCGTCCACACTATGCAAGTAATACACGAAATGTACACTGTTATTTCTGTATCTCAAGGAAGCATCATCATCTTTAAGGTCCGAGTGAATAGGTTGCTTATGGGTCGACGTGCTCTATCGTAGGCCGCATCATAGCTTACCACCAGGCGAGATAGTGGTCAAACGTCGAACTATGTAATATAAAAGAAATACTTATACCACTATATTTTATATTGAGACCGCCTCGTTAGCCGAATGGCCGCAAGTGCGACTGCCGAGCAAGCTGTCTCGGGTGCGATTCCCGAGGCGTGCAAAGTATTACTGAGTTTTTAAAAACCTCAGTAGTAGCACGGAGTCTGGAAATGTGCCCGGTTAGTTCACTGCTGGATTATGAGGCTCTTTGAGACAAGAGTTTGTTATGTATGGATCCATACGCTTTCGGAGTGGATTTAGGTTTATCATAGAGCGATGTTACAGCCGGACTCTGTGAAATATTGCCGAAAAGAGCGTTCTGCTTTTTAAAAGGCCGACAACGCACCTGTGACGCCTCTGGTGTTGCGGTTATCCATGGGTGACACTGATCGCCCGTAACAGTCCACTGATAGACTACGAGCCTCCTATAACCAACCAGTTAAACAGAATTGTAATCTGACTCTGTGAAACCGGCCCTACCTAAATCTTCTTTTTTAGTAAATATTTTTACTGTCAAAGTACATTGATGGCTGCTGACATCCTCTCAAAGAAGAGACTCGGTCGCCATTCAAGAAAGAAAAAGAAATAACTGGCGAAAAGTAGATATTATGTTTCCTTTAATAATTAATTAGATATTAAACTGTAGATGCTGCGTGACGTCGCCGCGACCACGCACGCTGCTCATGACCAAGAACACCTCTGTGGTTCAAAACTAATAGAGCTTTTCTCGATATATTCACGAGAGTAACCCGCAATTTTAAGATAATTGAGTATGTCTCACGATAGTTATTATTAAAACATAGTAACGTTATTATTTCCATATATTTATTTAAGATTCTCTTAATTACATTCTTAACATACTACTTACTTAAAAAAAAAAAACAACAAATAATATTTAAAAATATAAAAATCGGAGCCGACCCGTAGCGGGAGTATGGTCCAAGTTACCGATGGTTAGGGCTACTGTTTCTAGGAGAACTGCATTCTGTATCAGGCCCTTGATCTATCCAACCTAAAGTCAGTCTTCTAAGATGGATGTCGAGGCTTTTAGGGATTGACCCATTGGCCGACTCGACTATCGGCACAATGATAGCCTAATCCACACTCCACATGTCAACAACCTCGTGAGCTGAGTCTAAAAATTTCATTTGTTTATCTTTCTCAACTTTCACGAGGTCCTTGACGTTGTTATTATCTTTGTCCTGTTTAGTAATCGGTAACGATAATAATCTGTCAAACTTAAATTATCGGATATTTTTTAAACCACTACTATTCTACCTAGTTCATAATATACATAGTAATTATAAAAGCCTATTAAAATTGTAAGCAGTAAGTACGGAGTTTGAAATATGCTAGATTCCTAAATTTTATTTTAATGAGATTATTTTAAAACATTACACACGTATTTTTTCTTTTCTCACAAAATTAAATGTCTTCGACAATACATTGATTTGAAATGTCGTCTGATATCACAGCGTGCTTCAAAATGTAGCACGTTGTGATGTAACTACCTCCCACTCCTAAACTTAACTCTATTTTATCTAAGTATTGTAACTTTATACGAGAAAATAAAAAAATACGTGTCTAATATTTTTTCATTATCTAACTGACGGTCTAATTGCATTTTTAATTTTCTTACCCTGGAAACTACCCAATTATTCCCCGGGTTTGTCAAATATCCTCGCCCCTTATTACATGGGAACCATAACATTATAAATTGAAGAATAGTGAATGTTTGATTATATAGATACTGTACATTGTTAAAACTGCTGTTACAATTATTTAAGTTATGAGGGGTATGAAAATGAAAACTATAATTAATCCGTCAGTTAGTTACTGAAAAAATATTAGACACGTATTTTTTTCTCGCAAATAGTTACAATACCTAAATGAAATGGCGTTAAGTTTAGGAATGGGAGGTCGTTACGTCAAATGATATTTCAAATTAATATATCATCGAAAGTATTTAATTTTGTGAGAAAATAAAAAATACGTGTCTAATGTTTTAAATTAATCTACCAGACGGACATTAAAAAACTACCCTATTGTTATAAGATAAGTTGTTTGATGTATGAACCCATAAAAACTTTAGTAAGATTTCACGTAGAGTTGATTCAAATGACAGATTTCTTTAATTTTATTTTTATAAGGAAATGTTTAGGTAAATGAAAATAACTTGTTATTTATATAATCATTATGTAATTAAAATGTAGCTAAGGACTCTTAAATACCTCAAACAAAAAAATGGAAACGGTACATATGTTATCTGTTACATTATTTACAGATATTTACACTATTCTCATTACAAATTGTACACAATTATAATACGCAATCAATATATGGTGGGAGAATTGGAATTTAATTTTAAAATACAGAGTTTTAAAGCAGATTTTAACTCGTCGAGTACCGGTTTTATAGACACAACTAAAGAACAATAGGTCGCGGTCACCGGTGACCGCTTGGTGTTTGACAGTTTAATAATGTAGCACATCGAACATTTACGTGAACTTTAAAATGACGTCATAGTTTTGTGTGAACGAAACAATGATGCAATAAATAAATACATCTCTAGTAATAAAAGTATAGTAAAATATGATGTTTTGTGACCTTCTCACTGGGTCTATTTTCCTGCTGTTGATGACGATGACGATGAGCCAGCGAGGCAGCGATCAATGCCGGCACCAGTCGGCGGCGCAGTCCCCGCGACACTTGGAGCGCGTCATGTACCCGCGGCGCAGCGCGCGACATCATCTCACTAGCTCGCACACCTTGCTCATACCCTCCATCGACACTCCTTCCAGTTGGAGCAGTAATGATAGCTCGTCGTCACCTGTGGGAGGGCGTTCTGTTATTTATGTGGTAGCTAATAGGACATACTTTACCTTGTTAACACGGATTAGTAGAAAAAGAAATAATATCCACCTACAAATCTAAGGCTTTTTTCTTAAGAAGGGAAAATCATCGAATGACTGCTCCCGCCAAGGTGAGGCGGGAGGGAGTGTCAGACTCTTACTGAATAAAAACAACCCCGTTCCTTCTCCTGCACGTCGAGCCGGAACCCCGGTTACCCGTTAAACCCGTTCTCCGCGACACAAATCTAAGGCTAAGATTGCTACGAGTATTTGCTTGATAATAAAATATTTCAACGTGTTTACTATTGTTATAAATTGAGTTTGTGTGTTTATTTATATGTTTATTACTCAATCATGTCGAAACGGCTAAGGCACGGGGATGAAATATGTATTACATTTAATTTTAAAGCATTTATCAGCATGTTTTATAGAAGTTCGCTTGTCTTCGATATAAAATAAAATTGACACTATCGATTTGAAAAACCAAAACTTTAGGTACCTTACGGTAAAATGGGGTGAATAGGGATCGAGAGGTGAATAGAGACAGAAGAGGGGTGAATAGACATTGGGAAATTCTTCATAGTATTGATTCTCTCCTCTTCTGTCTCTATTCACTTCTCGATCCCATTCACTCCATTTTACGTTATAACAAAAATACTCACCAACAGAATCTTTCATAGCACCTTTAGGCAGATCATGGTACACGAGGAACCCGCTAAGAATCTTTTTAACATCATCGTCACAGCCACTGATCTTCCGACTGCTAGGTAGACCAAGATACTTCCTCAAAAACGGCGCCAACCTCGATTCCCAACTGTCAAATATACTCGATACTTTTTGCTTAATAGCCAGAATGAATTCATTTGATATTAAAGGTTCGTTCGTGGCCTCTTGGTCGTCGACTTTCATTTCGTTCATAGTTCTTCTGTTGTGATTGTCTATGTGTGACAGTAGAAGCTTTATCTGCCAGATGTGGTAGGAGGTGGGTTCTGGTTTCATTGTTTTTATTATCTGGAAACAAGAGGTATAAACATGTAATATAGTTAAACAAAACTTATTGGTCGAGGTTTTCATCACACCTTATTAAGCAATATCGGCGCGCCTCGCCGTCCTAACTGAACACCGACATCTAAGTACGTTTTACTAGTTTTAACTATTTTCTTCTTTAATTATTGTCTATTAAAACCATATTGCCTGTGTTGTTATAATATGCTAAATGAACTTTAAAATGGTAAGCATAAAGTCGACATTTACAATTATAATACGGATGTTAAACTTTGCAAGGAAAGATATAGTATATACTTAAGTATAATTTTCTAATTGAAACCCCACTAATACTTTGCCCGACCCGGGAATCAAACCCGAGACGCCTTGCCCGGCAGGCGCACTTGCGGCCACTCGGCCAACGAGGCAGACTACTACTTTTATATTAATCCGAAAACTATAAACAATAACTCACCTTCAAGAACGTGGTCCAAATAGGCAGAGCACAGAGTATGTCCTTAACAACACAGTCGTATGTGAGCATGGCGAGTCCTTGCAAATGTTCCCGTTCAGGCCGAGTGTACACTCGACACGTACAAGTACCGAGGACTGGCTCCTTACCACTCTTCCTCCGCCGCGATACCACTAAACAATCCCCACAAATATTTTCACCAACATCTTTGACCAAATACTGTTTGACAAAGTTCCTTATTTTGTCGTCGTTTGTGAATAGTTCTATGTTTTCAGTGTTGGTGGACCAAATGTTGGACTTGTCGAGTGTGAGCGTTTGTGCCAATATTGTGAGGAAGCCTTGAGGGTCGTCTATGTAGGAGAGACAGCCTGCGCGCTGCTTTATGTCTATGCACCATGAGTACTCGAGGAATAGTCTGGAAAGAAGAATAAATTAAGCTTCTGTTAGTCTTAATAGATATTGGATTTTTTTATGAGATAAGCCGGTAAACGAGCAGACGGATCACCTGATGGTAAGCTATCGGCGTCGCCCATGTACACCTGGATGCGTTACAAGTGCGTTACTGGTCTTTTGGGGATTATGGATTTGAGGATTGTTGGGGATTCAGGGATTGGGGCAATTGAGGAAAAAGGGAGGGGTGTAACCCAACTTACACGACGAAATACAACGAAAGCGTTGTTTTACGTTGATTTTATGCTCGTTGGTGGTATCACTCCGGTCAAGCCGGCCCAGCAGTGCCGAAGAATGGCTCTGCCACACTTGGATGTATTTTCCATACCGGATCAGTCGGCCTCTTTGATAATCTTGCACGTTTAAAGCTTCTATTTCCAAAATATAGCTAACCCTTTTATCTAGAGGACACACAGTTCAGTGGTGGACTGATTTTATCATTTAAACCAAAATATCTACTTAAGAATTTAATCAAAATAAACTCACTTGAGCTGGTCCCAATTCCTATCTTTCTGGAACGTGATGGGCCAGTATCGTGGGTCGTTGATCTTCACTTCCTTCAACGTACTCAGTTCCGGGATGATGCAGGGCGCCTTCATCTCTTTCACAACGCCGTTTAGATCTATTACCTGTTAAGAGAAAAATTGTGTATCAATATAGATTTCCTGCATAACAACCTTCACTTTAGAATGGGAATTATAAACTATGTTTAAAAAATTCGATTTAAATTGAATCCCCTCTTTAATTGAAGTCAGTTAATTAATGTACTAAGTGTAACAAACACTTTTCTGAAAAATGCATCAAAAGCGGTTCAGAAAATCGCAAGACAATCGTGCACATACATACAACATACAGGTCAAACACAGAACCTCCTTTTTCTGAAGTCGGTTAAAAACAACACATCTATATACATATACAAAAATGAAACCAGTTTCCCGTTGACACGCCATAACTAGAGAACGGCTGGACCGATTTGGCAGATGTTTATTTGTTGTGTTTGTTATTGTCTGGAGAAGGTTCTTATGATAGAAAAAGCTAGTAAAGAAAAGCTTGCTAGCTAGTAAGTAAAAGCTAGTTAAATATATAAATAGTTACCTGTATATGTGCGTAACACAGCTTCTCAGTGCTGATGTCCCGTGGCAGTATGAGCCTGGCCTCCACTGCCAATACGTACAGATGTCTGAAGGCTTGCAAATGGTACCTGTTCATGAAAAATCATCAAGACATTTGTGAGTCACATGTCTGTATATGGATTTGGTCTTAGTGTTGCTTCAATGAGTTAGAGAAGATGTCTTCGGTCAACTGTTGCCACTTATAGGCTGATGATATAGTGTGATGTAATATAAATAAATAATAAATAAAAATAAAAAAGCCATTTATTTCTTACACTTAAAAGAATCTGCATGTTTACTTTAATATACTACCTATATTAAATTTAAATGTAAAAACAAATTACATCTTACCTATTATCTTCGCTGTGTGTGGGGAACTTGGGGAAGAATGCAGCGAGTAGCGCGGCTACTGCAGTGGGAGTAGTACTCAGCGTCGCTCTACCCCCGCCCAGGAACAGGAGCCCTATTGTACTGTGCACTGCCATCTGGAGTCATACAAATTGTATACAGTTATTCTGAGTAAAAATAGACGAACAGTAAAATCATGGAATCCTTTAATTACGTGGGAGAACCATGTTTTGACAGTTGACATGAATGGCGGGCTCAACAAGGAAACTGAGTATTTTTCCTTCACAAATAATGGCGGCATGTAAATTGGCGATTAGGGACGGAGAGGTGGAAACTCCACTGACACGGCTACACACAGTCTCTATGTATAACATGATGTGACGTACGTACCTGTCCCCCGTGAGTGAGCGGCGCGTGTGTGTGCGCGGCGTGCGGCGGGTGCGCGCCCGCAGGCGGCGACACACGCGCAGTGTCTCTATGTATAACATGATGTGACGTACGTACCTGTCCCCCGTGAGTGAGCGGCGCGTGTGTGTGCGCGGCGTGCGGCGGGGTGCGCGCCCGCAGGCGGCGACACACGCGCAGTGTCTCTATGTATAACATGATGTGACGTACGTACCTGTCCCCCGTGAGTGAGCGGCGCGTGTGTGTGCGCGGCGTGCGGCGGGGTGCGCGCCCGCAGGCGGCGACACACGCGCAGTGTCTCTATGTATAACATGATGTGACGTACGTACCTGTCCCCCGTGAGTGAGCGGCGCGTGTGTGTGCGCGGCGTGCGGCGGGGTGCGCGCCCGCAGGCGGCGACACACGCGCAGTGTCTCTATGTATAACATGATGTGACGTACGTACCTGTCCCCCGTGAGTGAGCGGCGCGTGTGTGTGCGCGGCGTGCGGCGGGTGCGCGCCCGCAGGCGGCGACACACGCGCAGTGTCTCTATGTATAACATGATGTGACGTACGTACCTGTCCCCCGTGAGTGAGCGGCGCGTGTGTGTGCGCGGCGTGCGGCGGGGTGCGCGCCCGCAGGCGGCGACACACGCGCAGTGTCTCTATGTATAACATGATGTGACGTACGTACCTGTCCCCCGTGAGTGAGCGGCGCGTGTGTGTGCGCGGCGTGCGGCGGGTGCGCGCCCGCAGGCGGCGACACACGCGCAGTGTCTCTATGTATAACATGATGTGACGTACGTACCTGTCCCCCGTGAGTGAGCGGCGCGTGTGTGTGCGCGCGTGCGGCGGGGTGCGCGCCCGCAGGCGGCGACACACGCGCAGTGTCTCTATGTATAACATGATGTGACGTACGTACCTGTCCCCCGTGAGTGAGCGGCGCGTGTGTGTGCGCGGCGTGCGGCGGGGTGCGCGCCCGCAGGCGGCGACACACGCGCAGTGTCTCTATGTATAACATGATGTGACGTACGTACCTGTCCCCCGTGAGTGAGCGGCGCGTGTGTGTGCGCGGCGTGCGGCGGGGTGCGCGCCCGCAGGCGGCGACACACGCGCAGTGTCTCTATGTATAACATGATGTGACGTACGTACCTGTCCCCCGTGAGTGAGCGGCGCGTGTGTGTGCGCGGCGTGCGGCGGGGTGCGCGCCCGCAGGCGGCGACACACGCGCAGTGTCTCTATGTATAACATGATGTGACGTACGTACCTGTCCCCCGTGAGTGAGCGGCGCGTTGTGTGCGCGGCGTGCGGCGGGGTGCGCGCCCGCAGGCGGCGACACACGCGCAGTGTCTCTATGTATAACATGATGTGACGTACGTACCTGTCCCCCGTGAGTGAGCGGCGCGTGTGTGTGCGCGGCGTGCGGCGGGGTGCGCGCCCGCAGGCGGCGACACACGCGCAGTGTCTCTATGTATAACATGATGTGACGTACGTACCTGTCCCCCGTGAGTGAGCGGGCGTGTGTGTGCGCGGCGTGCGGCGGGGTGCGCGCCCGCAGGCGGCGACACACGCGCAGTGTCTCTATGTATAACATGATGACGTACGTACCTGTCCCCCGTGAGTGAGCGGCGCGTGTGTGTGCGCGGCGTGCGGCGGGGTGCGCGCCCGCAGGCGGCGACACACGCGCAGTGTCTCTATGTATAACATGATGTGACGTACGTACCTGTCCCCCGTGAGTGAGCGGCGCGTGTGTGTGCGCGGCGTGCGGCGGGGTGCGCGCCCGCAGGCGGCGACACACGCGCAGTGTCTCTATGTATAACATGATGTGACGTACGTACCTGTCCCCCGTGAGTGAGCGGCGCGTGTGTGTGCGCGGCGTGCGGCGGGTGCGCGCCCGCAGGCGGCGACACACGCGCAGTGTCTCTATGTATAACATGATGTGACGTACGTACCTGTCCCCCGTGAGTGAGCGGCGCGTGTGTGTGCGCGGCGTGCGGCGGGGTGCGCGCCCGCAGGCGGCGACACACGCGCAGTGTCTCTATGTATAACATGATGTGACGTACGTACCTGTCCCCCGTGAGTGAGCGGCGCGTGTGTGTGCGCGGCGTGCGGCGGGTGCGCGCCCGCAGGCGGCGACACACGCGCAGTGTCTCTATGTATAACATGATGTGACGTACGTACCTGTCCCCGTGAGTGAGCGGCGCGTGTGTGTGCGCGGCGTGCGGCGGGGTGCGCGCCCGCAGGCGGCGACACACGCGCAGTGTCTCTATGTATAACATGATGTGACGTACGTACCTGTCCCCCGTGAGTGAGCGGCGCGTGTGTGTGCGCGGCGTGCGGCGGGGTGCGCGCCCGCAGGCGGCGACACACGCGCAGTGTCTCTATGTATAACATGATGTGACGTACGTACCTGTCCCCCGTGAGTGAGCGGCGCGTGTGTGTGCGCGGCGTGCGGCGGGGTGCGCGCCCGCAGGCGGCGACACACGCGCAGTGTCTCTATGTATAACATGATGTGACGTACGTACCTGTCCCCCGTGAGTGAGCGGCGCGTGTGTGTGCGCGGCGTGCGGCGGGGTGCGCGCCGCAGGCGGCGACACACGCGCAGTGTCTCTATGTATAACATGATGTGACGTACGTACCTGTCCCCCGTGAGTGAGCGGCGCGTGTGTGTGCGCGGCGTGCGGCGGGGTGCGCGCCCGCAGGCGGCGACACACGCGCAGTGTCTCTATGTATAACATGATGTGACGTACGTACCTGTCCCCCGTGAGTGAGCGGCGCGTGTGTGTGCGCGGCGTGCGGCGGGGTGCGCGCCCGCAGGCGGCGACACCGCGCAGTGTCTCTATGTATAACATGATGTGACGTACGTACCTGTCCCCCGTGAGTGAGCGGCGCGTGTGTGTGCGCGGCGTGCGGCGGGGTGCGCGCCCGCAGGCGGCGACACACGCGCAGTGTCTCTATGTATAACATGATGTGACGTACGTACCTGTCCCCCGTGAGTGAGCGGCGCGTGTGTGTGCGCGGCGTGCGGCGGGGTGCGCGCCCGCAGGCGGCGACACACGCGCAGTGTCTCTATGTATAACATGATGTGACGTACGTACCTGTCCCCCGTGAGTGAGCGGCGCGTGTGTGTGCGCGGCGTGCGGCGGGGTGCGCGCCCGCAGGCGGCGACACACGCGCAGTGTCTCTATGTATAACATGATGTGACGTACGTACCTGTCCCCCGTGAGTGAGCGGCGCGTGTGTGTGCGCGGCGTGCGGCGGGGTGCGCGCCCGCAGGCGGCGACACACGCGCAGTGTCTCTATGTATAACATGATGTGACGTACGTACCTGTCCCCCGTGAGTGAGCGGCGCGTGTGTGTGCGCGGCGTGCGGCGGGGTGCGCGCCCGCAGGCGGCGACACACGCGCAGTGTCTCTATATCGCCGCGCCCGCACATTATCTGTCCACCAGTACAATATGTTAGGCTTCAGTAAAACTACATATCTACCACATGAAGAATATCTTACAGAATCTCAATTCTCAAACAACCTAAGGACCTTATACAGACTGTAAGTAAAACTTAATTAAGATACTTAAGTTTATAATTGTCGCAGGCAAATTGTATAATCAGCCGTATTACATTACGGCTAGCCGTTTTGTAATACAACGGCTGAACGATAAGCCGAGTTGAATACGGATGAGTCAAAATCAGCCAGATCGTTTTCGGAGCTATGTGTTATTCAACATGTATATCTAGCCGTAATGTCACAGAGTAGTTATTATGTCCAATTTACAATTATAAAATTGAACACGCACGGCGCTGCTTGACGTAATATTGTTTTCTTATTGGGTGTTGTTCTCGTGGTTTTCAAGGGTAATAAAATTGATAGTGCTGTCAAATTGAAATCCAACATGGCGGTTGCACAATTGTATTAACTTTTTTCGTCATAGGTATCATTTTCGTGGTTTTCTACGGAGGTAAAACCGATGCTACTGTCAAAATATAAATCCAAGATTGCGGCTGCACGAAATTTTCAACTTTTCGTCATGAGTCTCGTTTTCGTGGCATTTTGGCAGCACCATCAGTTTTACCATCATCGAAAACCATGAAAACGACACCCATAACGTGAAATTGTACATCTTGTGCAGTTGTCATCTTCGATTTACATTTTGAGAGCCAAGTCTTAGTCAAAATAATTTATTTCAATTAGACCAGGAAGGCATTCCTGATCGTGAAAAAAAAAATGTCGTTGTTGAACCTTCATCAGAGCATTATTTACGTCGTCATTATTTGTTCAAATCAAAGTCAAAATTATTTATTTTAATTAGACCAGAAAGGCACTTCTGAATGTCAATAAAAAATTAAAAGCTAAGCTATTCTCATCAGCAATACAATTTGCTGTTCGTTTTGAAATAAATAGGGATTTAGGGATAAATTTTAATTTGACATAATCATTTATATATGTTAAAAATAGGAATGGACCTAGTATTGAGCCCTGCGGTACGCCTATAGACATGCTAGCACCCTTTGAGTTTACTTTGTTTACTTGTACTTTAAGTTGCCTATCCTGAAGGTATGACTTTAACAGATTTAGCGATACACCCCGAATGCCGTAGTGTTCCAGCTTCAGCAAGAGTGTCTCGTGTTCAACACAGTCGAATGCCTTCGAAAGATCACAAAATTTTCTGATGGCATCCCGTGCCTCTTCCCACGAAGCAAAAACCCGCATTTTGATTTATCACTTAAACTACTTAAAACTAAAGTAATACTATT